TTACTCCCTGATCATGACCCTTCGGCTTCCTTTTGTCGCCGAAACAGCAAACATACACTACACACTGATAGCAGATTTCCGGCTTTTCAATGTTAAGCTTGCTTTAACGCACTACGTAATGCGTACAACCCCTCCATTACTGCTATGTGGCATATTTTTTCATAACAAACCCTCTGCAATAGATTGGTAGCATCTGTGAATTTGTCTATGGTTGTCGGAAGCCTGAGTACTTTCGAAAACAATACTGACATCCCCTACGGCTAGGCACTAAGTATTAGTTTGACTCATTGGTGGGATATTGTTGTCCGCAATACTGAAGAAAATTAAAAACCGGAAATTGTTTCTTTTCATTTTGCCGATAACATCATAGAGGACAGTTAGGAATGAACATGCGGACAGTCAGTCACAGGACGAAGCAACAGTTATTTCAGCTAAGAAAAAACGAACTTCGGCTTTTGATATCTTGAGAACAAGTCAAAACTAAACCGATTTCCATTTTAAAACATAAGACTAACCAGCTTGACTGAAGAAATATATTGACTAGAGTAGAATCAGCAAAAACCCAAAAAACAATGCTGATTCGAAGTAAATTTCACACCAACATGTAGAACATTACACTAACTGCGGCATCTTAGCACATTGAAACATTAATTACACAGCTACACAAAAGAAATAGCTAAAAGAAGCACAGAACGAAGAAAGCCGGCCGCCATTACGTACAAAGATGGCTGATATAATAATTCCCGCCACATTCTGATTGGTTGCTAAGCTGAAAGGTACATTTACGAAATTGAGTTGCGTTTAATTGCAGCCATCACTCTTGATGGCGAAACTCTGGAAAATGTAGAGTCCTTTACATACCTAGGAAGCATCATCGATGAACAAGGAGGTTCAGATACAGAGGTAAAGGCAAGGATTGGCAAAGCAAGAACAGCATTCCTACAGTTAAAGAACATATGGAACTCAAAACAACTTTCAACCAATATCAAAGTGAGAATTTTCAATACCAACGTCAAGACAGTCAGTTCTACTGTATGGAGCTGAAACTTGGAGAACTACAACAACCACAATCAAGAAAATACAAGTATTTATAAACAGCTGTCTACGCAAGATACTCAACATACATTGGCCGGATACCATCAGCAATAGCCTTCTGTGGGAGAGAACAAACCAACTTCCAGCTGAAGAGGAAATTAGGAAAAGACGATGGAAATGGATAGGACATACATCACGCAAATCGCCAAACTGCATCACGAGAAAAGCGCTAACTTGGAATTTTGAAGGGAAGCGAAAAAGAGGTAGGCCAAAGAACACATTGCGTCGGACAATAGAAGCAGATATGAAAACGATGAATTACAACTGGTCGGAGCTAGAAAGGATTGCCCAGGACAGGGTTGGATGGCGAATGCTGGTGAGCGGCCTATGCTCCTTCACGAGGAGTAACAGGCATAAGTAAGTAAGTAAGTTTCATTATTATTATTATTATTATTATTATTATTATTATTGTGATCCCATTTTTTATAGCTCGAATAATCTTCACCCAAATTTTCATTTCAAGCGTGTTAAGTGAGTTGGTGTAGTCGATGGTGTGACTTCCACGTAAGATCTTGAAGATTAAGCAGTTATATTATGACATATCTACAATTTTAGGATTAGATCTATTATTAGAGCAGTACTAATATCATAGTAGACTATAATTCCACATACTCACCTGTCTCTTGAGTCGCCCTCAAGTAAAAAATAGAGAAGGATCTACTCTAAAGGCAATGACGAAAACCATTCAAGCCTGAAGAACTGCTCCACTGTCTGCCAAAAATAATAAGGTACAGAAAGTAAATAAACAAATATACTTGATAATTTCTCGGTTCCTCGTAAGTGTTTGGCTTCAAGAATAAATTGGTAATCTGGGAAGGAAATAGACGTGGTGTAGAGATCTTGAATGCGAAAAGGTATGAAGGCAAAAAATTTACTGTTTTAAAATGCATATATATAAATTCGTGAACTTGCAAGAAGTTGAACTCCTCACCAAACCCGATCAAATATAAAGCCTTGAATTTATGATTACTACCTTTTATAACCGAGTTCGTAACCACAGGTGCATAAAAATACTCCCTGACCAGCAAAAGCAGAATATGCGGCTAAGGAAGAAAAGAAAGAAAAATATTTCGAGGATTGAATATATCTTTATGTCAGCCACCATTTTAAGGCTTGATGTAGATATGCCGAAGTGCCCTAACAAGTCAAATTGTAACACCGTGTTAGGTGCTTGAAGTACGAATATTACAAGTGTTTTTTATTCATATTAATAATAGTCGAATAGAGAGACCACATGTGTGGTAGACTTCAATCATACGACAATAACTTACTTATATAAAAAATTTTTACATAACACTAGTGGTAAGTTTGAATTTAGACTAGTGATAATAATTGGTTTAACGTGAGCGTAGCCATGAGATTCATGTCGCACACTTAATGTTCTGATTATCTAACGAATCATTTATGGAATGAGTTTGAAATTATGTATTTCAAATCAATATAGTTCATATAGTCACCTCACGGGTAATATACTGTACGATGTATTCAGTTAAGTAAGTGCTTGTACACTGTCGAAGTGGGTGCAAACCATGAGAGTATAGTTTTCAGCCAATCTGGGTATAACTCTAAACCCGCCTCTATGAAAATGATATGAACTTTTGGTCAGTATTTGTATAAAGGTAACCGTGGGAAGTAAGTAAGTAACCGTGGGAAAACAACACCATTTGTGTAAATAGTCATTAGTCAGGTTATTGACTGCTTTAGCTCTTAGTTTCATCACTTAAACCGACCATATTATGTGCTCATCAAATCGTAAGAAAGCTTCATGGCGCTGTCGAGAAACCATTTATGAATAGCCTTGATATAGGAATTAGCTACGGAAAATAAAATCGGTCGTGCTGTTTTACACGTCCAAGGTTTTTGATGGTTCAGAACACGTTCATGTTTCTTGATTCAGAAATGGCAGAAATTAAAAAAGGCAGTAGAAAAAATTGAATAGTGCCAATGAAACTGAGATATATGATTTCACTAAAAATAATTCTACAGGTGTACTCGTTAGCTTAGTGCATAACCTCTGTAAAAAATGTAAAAAAATATGACGAGAACCACTAACAATTATTTAACCATTGTTTCATCTAAAATGCTTAGTCTAAAACCACTTGTTAATATTAATATTGGTCATATAAAACTTTTAAATATATCTCATACTAAAAACCGTTTAGGGAGTACTTCATTTGAAATACATACAGCCAATCTAAGGTGAAAATATATGAGTTAAGAAATACTAAAACCATAGCAAATTAAAGGGGAAAAAAGGTGAAACTCGCCTGGATTATCTTGTGAATTCGTCGCCATTGCGAGTGTATATTGTGTGGGTTTATAGTACGTGTTCACAGGGAATATTATTTATGTTTCCATCCAACTTTCGCACTGTCTACTATAAGTGGCAAAATCTAAGAAAATGGTGAATTCGGCAGGCATAACTTGCCTGCATCACTCACCTCAGTAGAAGATTCTTCGTTCTTTTGTGACTTACTTCTTTTAAAGTTTTTGATTTATATTACTCAGCGGTTGTTTACAGATGACTAGCTTATGTTTTCAGTATTTAAATAAAAGAAGTATAACTCTCATACATCGAAAGCAAAAGATCCGAGGAGGTGTGGGTAGTATAATATTTCAGATTGCTACTTTCTTGGCAATATTTTTGTTAATTAAGGAAAATAGGTGAAACAGTTATAGAACATTATTGTAATTAAATGAGCACAAGATCCTAATAGATATGTGGTTATATATTAGGCTGTGGCCTAAACCGTGGATATTCTTGACTGAATAATCGACTGTACCCATCTAACCCTTTTAGTGAAGATGCCACAAATGTTTGGAGTTCGACAACGCTTTAATCAGTAACACCTTCTACTACGAATCGTGCATAACACATGAAATCAATAGACAGAAGTGAGGTTTGAAGATATATTTGATAGACTATCAACATTTAGAGGATCGTCTGATCTAATCTGGCTAGCGATTGCGATAGATGTTGAGCACGGCGTTCCCACTCGTGATCTGGTGCGGATGCATGGCCGAGAGCCTTCGGCTAGGTGAGTCCATTCAAACTAATATGGTCAGCATCCAATGTCGAAAACTTACAGAGCTGTTTATTTTGGGGATTTATTTACCAATACAAAATCATTAAATCAATCAAGTCAGTTGATGATTCAGTGATAAAATTGAAACAGATTACATAAATAAACACTATGAGTAAAAAGTATAAAGGTGCTGCAAATTTCTAATGAATTTAAAGACTTGGATCGTTAGCTCGACTTACTACAGCTACTGCATTGTGTAAGGGACGAGATCAAACTCAATGAGGAAAACTAGTGGGAATTCCATAAGCCACTTTAGATGGCTTATTTCCGTTCACTGCATGGCAGCTATCGATCAATTGTTATAGAACTGTGATGCGTATTGTTTTAACGGCACTCTTTCCTAACCACGAAGGGGGATGTTCACTAAGTCGTTGGCGCAGTTGTTTGGTATTGTGCTCAGTATAGCTTTCTCCGGAGGAGCAGATAAATACTAGCTTACTGGGGACTTTTTCCTATACATAATTCTACTGACAGCATCACTTTATTTTATGTTTAACGAAACATCTAGGAAGTATAGTTCTTATTGCATAACTTTACAGTTTCTTTAATATTATCTCAGCATCTATATTTTTCACAACTAGAGCATCTATTTGTTTTGTTTATTTATTTAATCTATTCAACTGTTATCACTGAATCATTAATTGTCTTGACTGGTTTTACGATTTCGTATATGCATATAGATTTTACTATATATTAGAGTAAAGCCTGATGAAGGTCTAATTGAAACGGAAAAATATCTCTTTGCATTTTTACCATGATAATCGTTCACAAAATTTTTAAGTGATTTATTGGTCATCAAAAATATTTTTATTTTCCTGTCGAAACGCTCTAATTAGTTTGTAGTGTTTGTTTGATTGTGTTACAGCATTTTGTTTTGTCCAATAAGAGACGTGCCAAGTGTACGTGATAATTTGATTACTGTTTCCACATGGATAAGTCTGTCGTTTTCTTTATTATTGTGATTCTCACAACCTTTCTAAATATTATACATGCGAAGAAGTATGACCCATCAAATTGCGAAGGTAACTTAAGGTAGTTAATTTGTTATTTCAATAGTGTGCATAAAGTTCGTTGGCTCCTTCATTGAGTCACTTGAGCCTGACGATTTTCAGTCACCACAGAAAATCAAAGATGCATTTATGAAAAGGTGTGAAACTTCAGTTGGAAAGGATAATAGTTTCGTAAGCCGTATTACTCGTCTTTAAAGCCCGTAGTGTTATTACGTTGGCGGCCTTAAAACATCTGCGGCGAAGACTGTTAATACTCTAGTTGAACCAATTTCATGGAAGATGCCTGTGGAAAAGATTTGTGAAAAACTGTTTAAAATAGACTCTCAAATCTGTGATCTTAGATACGGTAAGTGTGCTTTGTTCTACTTAATTTCCGTTGTCAGAAAAAGTTGTAGATCTTAAGGAGTTCAACTTTGAAAAGTCCAAGGTGAGAGATCTCAAGAAGATCATAGAGAGATGGGGGTTAGAATGTCGTGGTTGTACTGAAAAAAGAGATTATATCAGCTTGATTAAAAGTAATATGCACAAGCATGATCCTGAAGCAGCAGCTTTTCTTCAAGCAAGAGGGGAGCTTTGAATTTTTTTGATATGTTTTTATGTACAAAGTTATTTATGAGTTTTTAGTTTTCATATATTCGTTCACTTTAATGAAATATAATTTTGGTCCTTACTGTTTCAGTAACTTTATAAAATAAGATGAAGGGGGATGAGTGTATCTACTAAATCCATCTATCGATTTGTAATTATGACTTATATGTTAGGTTGATGAAACTCTGTGATCTCTTGTTGACATGATTGGTAGAAGTTAATTCTATATTCATTAGAGGTGTATAACACCTAGGTGTAAATGTAATTGACTTCGAGTGACTTAACAGTTGAGTCGACGATGACTTTCAGAAAAAGGTTACTAACAGCTTCAACTATGTATGTTTATTTGCACAGTGATACCAGAAGTGAAAGTCAATAGGTAATAATTGATGAACTAAGACCCAAGCCGAATTGTTGGTGAATGGGACTGACGTGAAAAGCAGTTATAGGGAAAGTTTATGTCAATTTATTTCTAAATCACCGTTTGCTGGAGTGGTTTTGACATAATGCTGTCATCCAGTGTACATATTCTTGTGTGCACATTAAAATCAGAACAAAAGAAGTCACCAAGTGTCCATATCTTGTAACCGAGATAAGGGCTGGCTTCCCAGATCCTTATATATATATATATATATCACTTGGGTTTTATTTTCTCATCCTTTATAAGCTTTAGGGACATTTCATCTAGACCTTTATTTATTTTAACACAGGTATTGGTACAAGGGGGCACCGAGTACATAAGCGCCACACAAATCTCATTTGATATATGTGGGGGCTATGATACTGCCCGGCTGCCCTAGACCTTTAGTCTAAACTTAGTACTTTATTGCTATTGTGGCAGTGTCCTTTATTATTACCTCCACCAAACACGTTCCGTGAAATTCAAATAGGTTTCCCTACGTCTTGTGATATCCTTGCTTAATATTAATGTTTTCACAAAGCTTCTAAAAGTGACCACATTGTCTGTAGAGGATAAATTCAAGGTTGGGTTAAAAAATGGTCAACCTCTTTACCACAACCCTGGTATTTAAAGTGTTTAACAGTAGTTATGACTCAGTTTTCCCTTAAACTTAATTTATGAATCCAGTTTACAATGTGAATATAATTGTTTGGGATTTTTCTAGCAATTATTATTATTCAGATATTTTCTATCCAGTTGGTTTTTATTGCCCTTGACTGTAAGCATAATTCTTTGTAATATTTCGAGGTGTCGGAAAACTCATTAGTTCAAATAGGAATAAGGTTATTAACTCATCATAAACATAATAACAGTATGGAGATGCAATTTTGATTTCTCCTTTTGTTTTGGTGTGAAAGTAATTGCCTTTTGACAATGATTGAGTTCATGTAGGATATCTTTGTCCCCTTTTTTTCGTCGAAGTTGGTAAAAACTTTCGTTTATAGCTTTTGCAAAAGAAATCTAACGATCGTCCATCGAACAGTTTTTTTAAAGGTTGGTCATCATCTTGACATGGATATCCCAAGATTATTTAAAAGCGCTACTCCTACTTTATCGCTTCAATAAGGAATTCAAATTCGACGACGAACTTTTAAGGAAACTTGGTAGCGTCATGACACAATCAACATTAGCTTATCTCCTAGTGTACCTTTTTAGAGAGAGCCTAGAATATACTGTTCGCTGACCAACAACTAGTAGATTTCATTTATTTAAGAAATACATGGACGAAAACAACGAAGTTAAAGACCTATACTAATATTAACACTAAATAATGTTAGACACTGTTAGCTTTAAAAAAGTGCTGTAAGTAGGTAAGCAATGCATATTTGGTCGAATTTACTTTCGTTATTCTTAAAGGTATTGAGAATGACGGATTTGTTAACACTGGTTTTGCCGCACTATGTGTGCAACATAATTTTTGTATTTGGCTAATGGATGGTCTAATAAACGTGCTTTTATTACTTGTGGCTTCAAAACTAATTTAGTTTTAAACGAAAGGGTTAATTTTCACTCAATTCTTTACGAATAATGATTCGATTTAACTGATTAAACATTTCAATGCAAAAATACTTTTAGGTAGTTAGCAACCAATAAGAATGTTAAGTAAATAAAACGAGTTCATATCGTCCTAATTTAATAGACCACTGCTTTCTTCATATTCAGAACACTAGAATAAACGAGCAGAGAATTTCTGAATATTATATTATAACTACGTTAAGTAGGAATTTTGGTTTAGGCCTTTTAAGAAAACCGATAGATTAATTGATGACAAAAGTTAGTGTTTTGAATACATAGTGTTTGTCTTTATTAGAAAGGAAGCTCTGAACATTGGTCTTCTCAGTAATAAAGCTGAAAAACACTAGGTCAGTTTCGAAAATTGAGAGAATTCCAACTAAACAAACGATTTTCGACCGATTTACAATTTTCAGGTTACTTTATTGCAATTTCATAAACTAAAATAAAAGCGCGAAAAGAATAAAAAGCAATAATCAATTATTCATATACTACTTCCAAGTAGATTAACTGTTGTATAGTGAAATGTATTCAACCTAAACATTTGTTATTGACTTTCTGGCGGCTTTCTATAACCCCAGACTACTTAAACACACAAAGTCTAGCAGCAGAGAAAACGTTCAAAATATAAGTAAAATCTTTGAGCCAAGTTTCATTTGTATACAGAAAACAGGTTTATTTGGAGTTTTTGACAACCGTTAATTTGCCGTTTCCAGAGTTTAAACAACAAAGTAAGTAATCGTCCAATTAGAATTTAACACTACCCGCTAATTTTCTGTCTGTGTGGCGTATACTGATTGGACTAAATGATCATAAACTGTGGCGTGTGCTGGTTGGACGAAATGATCATACTCTGTGGCGTATGCTGATTGGGCGAAATGTTCTTACTCTTTTTCTTTGCCACTTATCAATTGATACAGTTAGTTGACTTCATAAACTTAAGCAAAGCAAAAACAACATTAACAGAATAAGAGGAATTTGTTGTATTTCATTGTCCTCACTTCACCCATATACGAGTTAAGGTGTTTGATTTTTTCTAACTAGTAATATAATGTTGAAATTGAATTATGAATCAATTCATGTTGTATATGGTGTGAAAAAGTTAGGAATTAAGTTTTAAAACGTTGTTTGATAATCGGTCAAGGTAATTTTAGAATGCTAAGCTCATTTCACTGGATTACAAAACAGCATCTTTTTGGGATTTTAAACAGAAAGTGGATGTATGAGATCAACTTACTAAATATTAACATGGCAGTTAAAAGTTAACCACTGACTTTTTTTGAATACAAAAGTCAGGGTTCAAGCCTTCAAATCGCCATGGCTCCTGCAAATTTTAATAATATGGAATTGGACTGTTCATTGGTAGCGTTGAATAATTTCATATAATCCAGGTTGTGCTCTGTGTCGAGTAGGTAATATGCTGTTGAACTCCGTTAGCTACTTTCTCGAAAGCGTAGGTCTTAAGGAATATGCTCATTAAAATGAGTAGATACTTGTCTTTCTGTCCACCAACTTTCATATTTTTGCATGTACATGTGAAATGATAAATGTATTTTGAGGCAGCATATGACGGATATTTGCCGACTTTTATTCGTGTTATTTAGCATAGTGTTGTGTACAGTTGTATCAACTTCGCAGTAGGAAATGTTCTTTAAGTTAATTTAAGCCTTTAACTGGTCAATTTTATTGTAAGGCCAGTACGATATATCAAAAATAGATTACTTCATGGAAGTTGTCCAGATTGATGAATTTGACTAAAACAAGAGCAGTAAATGTGTCAGAACAACACGAACTCATTTATTTCATGATTTCTCTCCAGCTGCTTGCAATTTAAATGTCTTGTGCATACTTTATGTCATAATATCAGACAAATTTTCATCGATGAAGAGTAATGAGTATGGATAAGCAATAAGAGATTATAGCAGTAAATAGATCCTCAAAATAAGTAATTCTGCCAGTATTTGACATTTATACTGCCCTCATTAGTTTTACTGGACATACCCTAGCTGAAGACAATAGGTTGAGCATGTGTACCACATCACTAATAGGTACGCCGTAGAGATTACATACTTCCCGACGTATCAACTCTCTTCCAAATATGTCTTCGAGTTCCTTCATTTCTGACTTCAAGTTTGACTGAATTTGGGATCCTCGATTATGAAGGTGCTACGAACAGAGCGTTGTCAAGCCCCGAATATTCGTGACATATCTAAGGTGTTCAGAGGTTTGAATGTTTATATTTTAAATAATGTTTGTTAATTATCTTGAAAGACTTTATGACGTGTCCACTGTCAGCATAATTAAGAAACAAAGGGCACTGAATTTACCCCCTTTTTACTGAATCAGTCTCCATAACTGGTATATAAGAACTTTCGTCTAAATTTGATCGAATAGTTTCATAGTATCTGAGCACCAAGTAGATGTGCGACATTAAGGAAGAAGAATGTAACTAAATTTATACACTCAAAAGGTGTCAATCTTCTTTTGTAATTGTAACCTGATTTAAAAATGTTCTTTGCGAAACCTATTTTTCCCGTGGCACTAATTATAGTTTCTTATCTAGTTTGTACTTAGTCAATTTTATCTTATATTTTAGATATTATGTAACTATAACATTAATCTTTTATTTCTTAACAATTTTGTTTCTATCCACTTAATTTTTATCCTAGAATATTCATATATTCAGCGTTTAGATATTGAACTATATGAGCATCTCTTCTTACTATCCCATGCTCATTACTCTTTTCATTAATCTTGATTGATAAGAATTTGTCTGATATTATGATATAAAGTATGTACACCATATTTTTAATGATTACAACGATGATGTTTGGATTGAAAGCAGTTTGAGAGAAAATAAGAAACAAATGATTTCATGTTATTCTGATAGGTTTGTTGTTCTTTGGACAAATACATAGGTAAATGTGCGACCCAGTTTTATGCGATTTACTTAAAATACAAGTTTAAACTTTAGTACTGATATAACGGATTTTCAAAATATTTCTTTCCTCCGAGTGTTTTACGATGATACGTCAATACGATAATGAGACTAGTCACGTTTTATTAGATCCAGGATTCACTAGCCGGAATAGAGAACCAGAGTACAGACTAGATAATACATTATTCAACAATATTACAAGTGGTCACTCAGTGGGTCCGGAGGAGAAATTAGTAAGAGGAAAAGAAATCACATATTTTGTAGTCAGTATTCTGTAGCAATTTGTCCACGCTCAACGGCCATTCATATTTTAGTTCCACTACCACATATCAAGTATTGATAGATTTGAACGCTTTACTCACATATTACATCAAATCGTATTCTCTCCATAAAAAATGCTTGTTCTTTATCAGGTAGAACAATTAAGAGACGAATCAAGACAATTGCGTGCTGTGAAAAGTGTTTGGTTTGACTGACTTACCCAGTTTACTCATGGTGACGTTCAATTATATTTACTTGACTATGACCTTTCACCAAAGGAAAAAAAGACTTGATTAACTCCGAAAAATTTACTGGTTGAAATTATTTTCCAATTCAATGAATAATCTAACAATAAAGCTCAAACTTTACATAGATTTTCATAATATATGAATACTAAGACCAAATGCTTCTTTTCTCACCTTAGGTATACGTTTATTTTTATTCTGTATAAATTCCAAAAAGGCATCGTATCCATGTGTCTCTTTCATTTTCCCATTTAAGCTTTCTACTTGTCCCTTATATGATTGGGTTTTAACATTTTCAAATTCACTTTTATTGTATATCGTGTTCGCACCATTATCTTTGATAACTTTCCATTGTTTCGGTGGAATATACCATGCGCCATAATGTAATCTTTCAAAATTCTGTGATTATTAGTTAATAATCGAAAGAAAACAGGTAAAATACTTTTAGCGTTGGTTAAATATACGTAATGGTCTTATTAAATACATCCGTCATACTTACATGTTATTTACTGACAAGTACTTTTGATCTTTCCTAGTCGTCACCCTCTTTCCATTTGTATTTAGTCGATACAACTTGTCCTATGGGATTGACCATTCCCACTCTTAGTAAGTTAATTCATGGATTACCTAAGTTTACTTATTTAATCCGTTGTAGGCTCGGTATATAGAAATTTCACTCCATTTATACTGTTTGGTTTTAATAAGCTATATAGTTTATATCTTAACCGATCCGCGCTAATTCGACTGGACCACCATGGGTTGTTGTTTCCAACCGCAAAGCGCTTCCTTTGAATAGTATTATTTTATCATTCAACTTATTTATATTTATAGTGCAGGAAATTTAGCAGCCTTCTGAAGGTTTCTGTTTATTTTTAGAATTCCATTTGTATTGATATTAAAGAAATGTAAGATGTAAATATCAGATGGTTCCAACCTAATTATCAAGTTTCATTGCAGTTTCCATTACGAAGAAAAATACTAAGATCAAAATGTGTGAACCATTAGACACTATTACTGGCACCAGTATAGATGCTGGATAATATTTAACACTAAGAAAAACTGAGTTAGTAAGAATAATTGACACTAATCGCCAGAACTGGCGATTTTTTCACGGTTAGATTTCATCTGACTGTATCATTCATGCCTTGAAAGTTCATTCTCATGTTATATGGATCGTTAGTACAAATAAGTGAGCAATTTGAACTTTTGTGATTTAAGACTATTCAGCTCAACAAACAGCCACCAGTTGATTGAACTACTCTATTCTGGTTATCTAAGACTGTAGTCTGTTTGATTATCGTATTCACAATGAGCTGAAAGCGGTACTAGACAGATAGTATAACCATTATTTGAGACTTAAACTGTGTGAACTCACAATACTCTAATGGTTTCACCGACTAATGAACTGACCCATGTCAACAAATGTAGGGATCTTGATTAAATTTTTTGAAATATTTATAATCTATGGTTGTAGATGATTCCATAAGCAATAGAACCCCATGACCTACATGTCTTGAGTGGTCGTGTTATCGCTCACTAGTTTTTTTTCAAAATTTGAAATTCATAGAATTTCCAACTTCATTTAACTTGCAACATGGGTTCTATATCATTCAATGTAATCTAAGAATATCCTCCTGTATTACCGACTCAGTTTAATTCATGGAATAAAGTACATAACATTAGGGTACAATCATCAATCAGTAAGAGTTCATCATCACTGTGTTGTGCCTGGTTGATAAAACTAATTTATCGGGTTTAGGTTTATGAAATTGTCTTTGAACCCCACCTTTTTGTTCCAATAATCAACCTCTCAAGCTAAATTAAGTCGAACAAAATTTGACTCTCTCGTCTAATGAATCACTAAGTAGTTGATTTCACTAGATTAAATACAGAAAGCGTAGGTAAAAGCCGAGTAGATGGACTAGAACTAGTTTATATTGTTATTGTTCATGAAGATTAGTGGAGGATTGCTTGCATTGTGAACAGTTTCTAAATCTCAGTGGTCTAGAGGTTAAGAGCGCGGTACGAAAGGTCCTGCGATTGAATTCCGCGTGCGGGATCGTGGGTGCGCACTGCTGAGAAGTCCCATACTAGGACGAAACGACCGTTCAGTGCTTCCAGGTTTTCAATGGTGGTCTAACATGGATCGGCTCATGATCTCAATTAGAACTCAACAATATCTACAACCCTATTCTGTTAAATCCTAATATATTTGGGATTTAAAAACTTATATGACTTGATGTGTTTTAAAAACGATTTGGGTAAATTAAAATACAAAGATGTTTTCTGTAAGAGTCTTGGATCAGTGGTCTTATAAAAGGAAAAACACTGAGGTTGGTGGATTTTTAAATAGCTGTTAATTGGTTAGCAGTGATGAGTATCTTTATCTTAAAATTGTTATTTTATAATATCTTATGAAACGACTACAGATACTTACCTTTTCTTGCCTTTTAGCCGCATTTGACTTAGTTATACGCGGTAAACTCTCTGAATCAGTCAAAGAATGCTTATCGCAGAGTAATTTTGGTGGTTCTTTAATAGAATGTCTTAATTCATATGGTAAATTAATCAATTCAACAACATTAATTGGTGTTGATACTGGGGGTTGAGCTTCATGTGTTCCAGCAAATAAACTTGCTAGTGTTGTCGGTTCCGGATTGTCGATTGATGAACCATCCAAATTCTTAATAAATTCACAAAATGCCAATGTTTCTTCCTTGATTGATGGGTACTGTTAAGAAAAAAACGGAATTAATAATATCCTGTAAAAAGAACACTCTAAAATGAGACAATGTTTAAAATCTTTAGGTAAATTAATAGTCTGAACTGAGAGTGAAATACCAGGATGTTCTCATGAATTGTTATGATTTATTAACTGAATCACTTCTGTTAAGTCCATTAAATCGTTTAAAGTTAAGGAATAACATCTACTGAAAAGTCTTTTAGTTGTTCAAATTGGATAGTGTTTTAACGACCATGAGCCTTACGATTCATATTTATGCTTCGTGAGATCTTCATTAGCATTTTATTATTATTATTTGAACACCTAAATATTGGTAAAAAGGGGCACCAAATACATATGTGCCACAGAAGTCACTTGATTCGTGTGTGGGTTGTGATACTGTCCGGATGCCCAGACCGAAGCAGGTGGTTTTCTTAGGGGACCACGCCCGGAGCGTTCGACCTAAAGGTCTGATCCACAAGGCGGTGGAGCGACGTAGAGAGATGCAGTCCCATAGCAGCCGGTGACCAACGATATATTCATACGCCATTTGTTCCCTCAGGATCCTGGAGCCCATGTACACTATTGGTTTGGAATCACGGTTTTCCAATTCCTCTAGGCGGACTCTCCGTGTCCACCGGCCCGATTAAAGTGCCGGACATTTTCTTTTCGTCCTCTCAATTCCGCAAACACTACCCACTACAAGAAGGTAGTGAGTAGGACTTCCCTGACAGTGGCTGTATACGCGTAGCTATGTGAGAGCATTTCAAGAGGGAGAGCGGATTCTCCCCACCCTCGACCGTACCAGAGCGTTTAGAGGCATCTCATTTCGTATATTTTCAATTTTGAATAAGATTTTTCATATATATACTGTTGTGAAAAGTATACATAAAATCAGTTTGGTTTGTTAGTGAAAATAATCATAAGCACTTTCTACAATCCTACATTGATCAGATACCAGTTTGAGAATATTGAGCAAATTAACTAAAGTTCTTTAATTTCTTTAATTTAATAATTAAATAAAGCAATACTGAACAAAATCTGTTAAAATTCATTATCCATAACAAGAATGAAAATCTAATTTTGGTTAACCTTAGTAAGTATATGATCAATTCATCATCATTTTAGATACTTTCTATCTATAATAGATTGTGTTTCTTTGGATTTAGCATTACTGTTAATAATTTCACAACTTCAGATTTATTAACTGATACACAATTCGAAAATTACTTTAATCAAATGAGTTCCAATTTTTTTTTTATTAGTCACTACCAATAGATAAAAGTGATTGGAAGTGAAAGTGATATAAATTACTGTTGTTAACTCAAATAGTTAAATGAGTCAGTTGAAGAAGGAAGATAAACAATGATTTTAGGTGTAAATTTATTTCACATTTAAACACTAGATTTGAAATAACATTTCAATTTATTTCGTCTTATACAGATTTACTCTACAGTTAAGTTCAACCAACTATGACTTAAAATACTGTCATGATAAATTAACGCATACCTTAATTAATGAGAATATAACTACTTGTCATACTGAACTAATAGTATTTTCGACTAATGTGTAGTTGCGCGCTTGATTTCTTCTTACCAGTAATCAGCTAATTTCACGGGTTCCAAATATGATCAACAAATATCGTGATATGTAAACGTTCCAATTTTTTAAAATGTCAACGGAATGGAGTGAGATATCATCGTTCTTCAGCATGATAGAGGTTTACATATGGTTATCATAAAAAATCGTGATTATAAAGAAGAAATATTATCCATTTTTAGTGATAAGACATTGTTAATGACAAAGCTTTCGTTGAATGATATTAGATAATTAAAAAGAATGGTTTCGTGAAGTGTTATAACTGAAAAGAAATTCAACTATGTAAACCATTTGTATCTAAACTCGCGAACTGTGATTTATAAACACAACAATTGAGATTAATACTAATTATGAATTTGCGAGACGGTTAATAAAATTTGGCTTAGTCCAACCAGAAACAAATTATGTTAAACTATTTTTTTAAACGATAGGTAGGTAGTTACAGACTACTTGGTTGAAGTTCATATAATAAACACGATCGATTGTTAAAGACTTTTGGTGACAGCTTAGAATCTCTCACACTGGTACAGATGTATTCACTGTTTATCTTCCTCAAGCTCTTGAGTTTTAACATTCATTACTAAGTATTTTCTCATTATTGTTTTTGCACCATATACTTAGTGTTCAGTTGTTTTTAGTATCATTGCTATGACATTATTTTTATTGTTTTACTAATTATCTTTTTAAATTTATCTGATCAATTTAATGCGATATGGTAATATGGGTCAGTGCATATTTCTGTTAGGTTTTATGTTTATTAAGGATGATTGACTTCCTGAAAGAAGTGCACTTAAGCCTATTAAATTTTATGATATTATTTCAAATGCTTTTCACTTATTTAAGCTTAGGTCGATAAAGTGAATTACTTGGTTTGTTGACTGTCTAATCATTGATTCGTTAAAATATTATACTGACAAATTAACATGATAGTCTATGCTTAAAAAAGTTGAATGAATTAATTAAAACGGAAAACAACTAACTTCTATGAACATTTCTGGTTCAATGGAATTTTCATCTTCAACTTTTGATTGAATTGAGCTAACTGAAGATTGTAACTTACTATCACTTCTGGAATTTTTTTTTGTAAAAAAGGACATAAAATGGAAATGTTAATCGATAAATCTATCCATGAACATTTTATCGATTTTGATCATATTGATTTATCTGAATTATTTTCGAAAATTATCTACACAATCAAATGATTAACTTTAAAGATAGAACCGATAGTGGAAACTTGCACATTGTAGATGCTTTAAAAAGTCAACAGTTTATATACTGTAAATCTCGGTGCAAAATTGACATATGTAACATCTCTTTTAATTTATTTCTTTTTAATGAGTCAGTTATTATTAACGTCCTTCGAATTTTTAGGATGAATATTTGTCGACTGTTATTTTTTCCACGTTATTCATTTCTTTTTCTTTGTCTGTCAAGTAGATAATTATCTCTTATATCACTGATCCGTAAGTTGTTTTTACCTCATTATTTTTTAATTGAGACCATGAGCCGATTGGTGTCGAACTAACATTGAAAACCTGTAAGCACTGGAAGGCTGTTTTGTCCCATTGTGGGACTCCTCAACGGTGAGCATCCATGATCCCGCTCACGGGATTTGAATCTATAGTCTTCGGTCTCACGCGTGAACGCCTAACCTCTAGACCATTAAACCGGCATCCAACGGTGTTAATATCTAACCTCAAACAATCCGCGAATTTGCGCGACCATCTTCCATTGTATTGAGGTATGTACCTGTCTCTACCCGACACGGATTAACTCCACTGGTCGCTGCTTCACATTAGAACTCCGAGAATTCCCTTAAGAAATTAGTCACTAGTGAGCACCTGATAATTATCATTATGGGGTTGTGAAGATTAAACTTAAAATTATTACACAATAGTCTTTTGATATTTGGATTTTTTGAACAATTTTTATGGTGTACTCTTATTATATTTAAAAAAAGTACATTAATACCTATATTTCATATCAGAATAAATACGACTGTACAATTTCAGTAAATGATATTTTTCGAAGAGAAAATTTCATTGACTGAATTGATTTCATTTATTCTTTAATGAAACAATGGGTTTCGTTCATTACAAGAAAGATTTTAGTTATCTTATCAACTAGAAAAAAAATCTGAATAATATATTACTTCATTTAATAAATATGACATGAAAGTATGTTATCTTTGTTTAGCCTCAAGAATGGTTAGGATCCATTAATATTTGAAAGAAAAAAGTAAAATGCAACCTTGTAGCGCTGGACGGCCGTTTCGTCCTAGTATGGGGCTCCTCAGCAGTGCGCATCCACGATCCCGCACCACGCGGGGTTCGAACCCAGCACCTACTGGCTTCGCACGCGAGCACTTAACCACTAGACCACTGAGCCGGCCGTCCAGTGCTTCCAGGTTTTCCATGGTGGTCTAGCTTCAATCGACTCATGATTTCAACCTATGAAATTTCTAAAAACTCTCCACAAAACCCATTCTGATAAAATGCAACCTGTTTGCGCAGGTATTTTTTGTTATGCGTTGATAATCTATGATTTATAAGCTGCACTATTTCTTCAAATATAATTGCTTCTAATAAGGGCTTTTCTCGGAAGACTGTCGGAGTTTGGTTATGTGGAAAGTAAAACAATTTCTATCAATAGCATTAAACAGTTATTGCTGTTTATTCCAATGAACTCTGACCCAATGGTCGAGAGATGTCGTATTTGCTGTAGTACCTGTATTTGATCTCCGTGTCACGACTGCTCCCTACTAAGTGTAGTGAACAAAACACGAGTGGGGACATTCAGAAATAATTGACAAAAAACATCTCAATAAAAACTGAGAACCATATAGTAAATTGTTCATTTGAAAAATATCAATCCATCATCTCAAACTTGACTATTTCTGTTGCAAAAATCAATTCATTGTTTCAGATTTCATTGTTCATGCGTTTTCATACCAATGGCGTCCCGTCCCCATCCTCTTTTCATCGACCTTCTACTGAAATACATTCTGTACCTGACCACCGTTATATACTACTTGTGTGGATGTAAGCAATCCATACCACATTAAAGAGTCTCAAACCAGGATGAAATAGCTATCCAGTGCTCCATAGTTTTTCAATGATTCTGAGACTAAAATTATTCAGTTACAAAAATCATTATATTTAACTAATCTTCACAAGCTAATCAATTCATTTTAATTATAAATTACCGTGAATTTAACTTACATTAAACCACCATTTGATTGTTTAGATAAGTTTATTCCTGTTTTATTATGAACATTTTCATGAATATTCTGATGTTTTGCTATTTTAACTAAATCTATCAATTTTTCTTTATGTGGCCGATCTAATAAATCAATTACTGTCTTCGAAACCTTGATCATAATTATAAAACGAATATTCATAACAGATTGATCAGAAGAAAAAAATGTTGAAACACAAAGATAAAATAAATTTAGTCCATTCAAAATGTTTAACTGATTATAAAATTGTAACTTAGGAATATGACATCGAATCATTTAAGTTATGTATTTGGAAACCTGTCTCATTTAATAAAACTTGATTGATTTTTATTGTTTTAAGTAATTCTATTTAAAAGGTCAATAGAATATAAATTCTAGTTCATAAGTCTATTATTGATTATTGAGTTGAACCCATTAATTATAGTAGTCTAACATTGATCAATTTATGATCTCAATTAATACTTAAGAATCTCCACAATTTTGTATTGATAATTGTAGTTTACTTTGAAATGAAAGCGAGACTTAGAAAAGATAGGTTAATAGTATTCATAAACAAAAAAAGATGTATACCATAAGAGACAGTAATAAATCATTCTTTACCCTGGTAACAATAATCCCCACCCTTTCTATTCATATGCTCCTATTTATTTATTTATTACGTCATTCCCCATCTTCCAACTCTTTCTGAAGTTGAAATTACATCATACATAAATGATTGGTTTTAATTCATATTTTCTTTATTACTATTAATCTATTTTCATGAGTTCTAATCACTATTTCAATGTTCCAGAACTTTCACTCTCTAACTTTATTTATTTATTCGAATCAAACATTTTATGAGCTCATTAACTAACTCTATCTGAATATTTTCTACATCATCATACACATGTATTGATCCTTATTCACATCACACTCTTATGTATAAATATGTCAATATCTGTAATAATGTTGAATTTCAAATAATTTAGGATGTAAGCAGCTGATGAGAACCTAACGAAATAAAATGAATTCATATTATTCTGCACCAATCTTTGTTCTTCCTCTATTTAAGATAATAAAGGGAACTATGTGTATGAAACAAAAAAGATTTTAAGGTTAGTTTATGATGACAATAAAATAAAGAATTAAACTGCTAAGGATGAAAATAATCAAAATAATTTAACTTATTCACAGTTGGGAATATAGTGATGTGATCCTTCTAGAGAAATAACAAAAGGCATTTGGATTGTGGTTAAAAAAAATCAATTTATTATGTAGCATTTGTCTTCAATAAATATCCTATTGTAGTGATTTAGCTAGTAAGAAGCACAAGTGAATAACGAAAACAGTTAATAATCGTAGAGAACTACTATGAAAATATAACTAGACTATCACAATTCACCAGTTTATGTTACATCTATGAGTACAATAAGACATATGTTTAATTTCTTTAACCAGTATTATTTTTCTATTGTTTATGGTGAAATTTTTAATTATTTGTGTTGTACCATTTTAGATTCCCATCTAATTACCAGTTTTATAGTGTTTAATCTTTATTGGTGATCACATTTTATAGATTGATCTATTATTAATTATTTCAGCTTTAAAATAGATTAACCGACTTAAGGATAATGTCTACGGTTGTTATTCTATAAATAAAAATAATATATTTGTAATATCCCAATGAGTAGAAAATTGGATTTTCTGACGTTTCGTGACTTAGTATAAGTCACTTCTTCAGAGAATAAATAAGTGACTTACACTAAGTCACGAAACGTCAGAAAATCCAATTTTCTACTCATTGAGATATTACAAATATATTATTTTTATTTATAACAATCAACCCAATGCTCAATTTATTCGAAATTATCAAATCAAACGTTGGTAATGACACCTACAAACTCATTAATAACCGGTTGTTATTCTAGTTGGTACATGTTCAATTAACCAAAATATCATTACTTTTCAAGATTGTAGAAACACTTTATAATGAGCAACAACAATGAATTTTCTAATGTGACCTATAATCAGTTAAAAATGTTTAAGACATTCAACAATTTGTTTCCTTTCGTTACCTCGATTAGTACTTGAAATATTTCCACTTTAATTGAAAGGGGATTAGATTATTATGTAACAGAAACACATCTATTAGTATAGTATCATAGGCAACTAAGAATGATAGATCAGTTGTCTTTGATTGATCCGTCAACAGAATAAATTATCTTGTCAAATTATTTAGATCATTTAGTAGCATATGCCAAATTTGAAGTAGAGGAAAATACTGTTAAAATTACTTCATGATATTGAAGTTACTTTCAGATAATCAGCAGAGAGTCAGTAAAAATCAAAAGTAATTCACAATGGAAGTAGTAAAACTTATTAAATATTAGTTATCTTAAGAATGATTGTGGTTTATTTCAAGGTTTATAATTAGTTTTCTGATTTTAATATTGTAAAAGTATGACTTTATAACTTCATTAATCTTACTCTATATTAATTGATTTCACAAGTTTCTTTCTGAATCTTAGTCAAAACCATAAATAGTTTTATCAAATATTCATCATCACTTCTCTATTAATAAATTTACTGAGTTATAAAGAAGCGATCATCCAAAAATCATCGTTGTCACTACAACGACATGAAAAACATTATGCATAAATAAAGTAATTTATTCTAGAATTTCTACTTCATTAAGTCATTTGTTATTCAATGGACTACGAGTATTATTCACTTTTGAACATCATATGAAATGCTTGAAAGTAGTCTTTTCTATTCTGATTAGCTGGTTCTTAATATTGTAATTTTACTGAAGATCCTAATATATCGTCTAATAACATAAAATATTGATACTTAATTAAACTAGTTCTTATCAATTAATTGTTTTTATGAGAAGGAGTTTTGTGGATATTATAGTAATTCCACTAGTTGAGATCATGAGTTAGTAAACTTTGATGTGTAAGAGTTAATAATAATCACTTAACCAAATGTCTTATCCGTAATGTGATTTTTCGATATGC